ATGACAAAAATGACGTCAGCTTGCCTGATTCGTTATATCGTAAACAACAATTGCGGCCTGTGCACCTCTATAGTACATTGGTGCGAGAGAGTGATATCGTTCTTGACCAGCTGTATCCCAAATTTCAAATTTTACTGTGGCATCATCAAGGCAAACCTGAAAATTTGGACGAAATCATTACGAAAAAGAAAGCGTAATCAGATGGATCAAGACTGACCCACAAATGCAAATGCGAACACAGTGCTAGAAAGGGGGCAACATAAAGCTTGGATTTGATACTTCTTCCCTATAGTTTTCGATTACGAGCACATTTCACTCGTACACAAGTAACTCTGCGCTATTCGTCAATTTTATACCCACGATTCAATCGATGCGAGCGGCCTTCGATTCCCTGTCGTGTTTTTCAACCATACTCACAAACCATCAATCACTTCTAATATTTGAACTTGAGACGTCGTCTCTAACTAATGAAGAAACGCTATCAACAGATCTTCTTCGTTGAAGAAAAAACATGATACAAAAGTTAGGGCCGCAGATAAATGGAGGAAGGTAACTCCTAAAGTGCTTATTCGAGTCGGCAGTTTTTTGTACTCCAGAATACCAAAGGCAGCTCCTTCAGAGGCGAGGCGCAAAATTTCCGATTTCGGTTTGGTCTATAAACTAGTACAGGGCGCGTCTGCTTGCGATTCCTCCAATGTATCCAATGACATCTTCGAGAACTAAGGGAGGCTTCACGAAGATCTCGTTGAAAGGACCTAAAGACTAATTCGCGGGCAAGAAGCTTTACCTTTAGGGCCGGTAGTGATTATTTGAAGTTACTGAAAAGATACCCGTCACTTTATCGCTGGCGCAATTCAAACGCCGTGTTGTCAAATTGCTGCTAACAATAGCAGGTCCCAATGTTTGCCAAGACTGATCAACAGCTAATCTACAATTCGTACGGTTTTAATTGGTTGTAAGCAGGTTTTTGATCGGTGATTCAAGTCATGTTGTTGCTATTTTCCCACATATGCCTTCCGTAGGCATAATAAACTTGTAACTTGCAGAAAGTAACTAGCTAGGATACATCCCAGTCCATGAGTTTACTGACAAGTATATAACCACATTTAGCCCCGTTTTCAACTGCACAAAAGCGGCTTAAAAGTGAGACGTGAATCAAGGAAGCGGTACATTATTAAGTCACTGTATGAGCTAAGCATTCATAGTCGGTCGTCCGATCGTAACGATCGTAACGATCGCACAGCGTTAGATACGTATCGATCGTCAATCCTCGGACAAGTCTGACGATCGATACGCATCCAATGCTGTGCGATCGCTACGATCGGGCAACCGGCCATGAATGCGCCGTGAGCATCCCACAATTGCAACAGTACCTGCACGAAAAACCACCTCGAAATACATTGAATACCAAAAAGTCACTTATCACCCGCGAAAGCCTATTCCATGGTTATACCGTAACGCACAGTAGGTTATTCTGCATCCAAAGCACCAAAACAGTGTTAATGGTACACAGTATGACCATCGCATTCAAAGCAACAACTTCAAAACTTAATTCAAACTCCGCAAGACCATCTAACCCTCTTGTACTGACAAATCTAATTCATCTAGCCTATCAAACAAACCGTTTGAGTCAGGAAGGCTGCACCGATTGTTGACTCTTGATATTCGTGGAACTGTCCTTTGACAAAACGCAAGACTAATGATGATTTTCCTGGAAATGAAAATGGATGAATACAAAAAGAATTTATCGACTCGTAGATATGACCACTAATCTTCTAAAATTTAAAGCGAGTAAATTCGGTAAATGCCAGCGTAAACAACAACGAAAAAACAAGAGCATTATTGAGTTTACTTAGATTCAACGTACAAAGGGAAGTGCTGACATGCTCCTGAAAAAGAAAACTGGCCATGGCCAAAACTTTAGTCGCCGTATCCTTAACAAATAAAAGTCATGGCTAAGGATTCTAAATAATTCACCACGCCAAACATTAGTAATTAATTGATATACAAAAAATCCATTTTTTATTGAAGCGAATAGAAGAGAAACCAGCTTTGCTTCACCTTGGGCCGATGTCATAGTTTGCGAATCGAGCGATTCGCTAGCGAATCGCTGATCCGAGCGTTGCGCCAGCGAATCGAACGTTGCACCAGCGAATCGAACTTTGCGCCAGCGAGTCGAACGATGTACCAGCGAGTCGAACTAGGTACCAGCGACTCAATAGTGGCAGTCCCACACTTTCAAGACAGTGCGTCCTTTGAAGTGGACTTCCTTTAAGCGTTGAGTTCCGCTAT